CTTTTAACCAATCAATATCTTTAGGGTTATGGTTTGCAGAAGGCAGGTGATAATTTTGGAGATAACATTTTAAGGTGTTACTGACATTGAGATGCATATTTAATGTGTTCCTGGAGTAACAGAACCTAGAGATGTTGGAATCACCCCCTGGAAACACACAGCACACAAACACCCCCACACATAATGCTACTAAGCTTGAAATTCCCGAAAACCCAGTATAGATTTAGGAAACTGGCTCTTATTAATGTCAATGAACATTTGACCTTTTACTCCAGTGGCCTTGTCCTTTCAGTGTAGAGAAACTCCTGAGACAGAAAGAGAAGCAGCAGCTCTGTACCCGAAGATCAACAGTGGGGCCAGGAAGGAGCAGTGAGTTTAGCCAGTGCAACCAGTGGGGCTTACCTAAATGAGCACCTATCACTACTCCCCAGAATAGTAGTTCACACAAGAAAAGAGGGAGGGAGGGGAAAACAAAAGGAAAAATTAGACTTGGATTTTGTAGAATGTCATTAAAATATATCTACTTTAATTTCATATAGCTAAAATTAACTGCTGGCTTCATATTAATTTTGTCTTGACTGAAATTAGTTGTCAGACCCCTTTTTATAGCCTAATTACCTTTTTCCTGAAAAAGGAGGTAAAAGAAATAACAATAAATTTGTAATGCAAAAGCTACAAGTTTGTGTATTAGTACAGATTAAGGATGGCTCTAGGAACATGGCTTGAAAATAATTGAAACAAATTTGGGAAAATCCTTCTATTTCTCAGAGAACTAGCATTTCAGTAGTTTTCTCTTCATTGTTCCGGGCATGGTCATTTATTCATTGTTCAGGACAAGGTCATTTATTGGCCATAGACACTTGAGTGTGAGTAGAGGGCAGGGCATCTACAGTTCGGTATTATCTGTTTTACTGAGCTCTCTTATCAACCCAGCTGGATGATGAAGTGCTCATATTTATGACCACAGTTGGCAAAATGTTCCACTATAGACAAAAAAGGAAATACTTTTGTATTTGTGGGCCATATAGTCTTCATCACACATCTATTCAACTCGGCTACTATGGAGCAAAAACCACCATAGACAATATGCAAACTGAGTGTGACTGTGTTTCAATAAAACTTTATTTACAAAACCAGCAGTAAACTTGATTTGGTTCATCCCCTATAGTTTGAAAATCCCTGCCAAGAACAATTCAGCCAATATAATGTGGAAAGAAATGAATGTATGCACAGTACAGCAGAGTAAGTGCTTACCAAATTTATTTTGAATAGAAATGATCAATTTCACTAAAACATGTGCACACACATACATATGCACACACATGCAGGCACACACACAGACACACACACTTTACTCAAAAGCAGAAATGTGGAATTATCACCAAGCCAGAATCTGTGGGTTAAAAAAAATCAGGGCTGGCTCAGTGGCATAGCAGTAACATGCAGCTCAAGTGAAGTGGACCATATGGAAGAGTGTGGGTTCCATTCCCTAGTCAAGCAGTACACACCAGGCATTGCGCCCATGGTCTTTGCAGGCTGGGAAGGCTTGCAGAGGGGTCATGGCATGATACCCTATTGAAGGCACTTGCCTTCCCCTCTCTCTCTGTCTTTCATGCTCATGAAAGAAATAAATAAACTTTACGGGAAAAAAATCAGTTTTTCTAACTTCTTGGAGTCAACAAAAATGAGTAGCCAATGAGCAGGAGGGGGACACAAGAAAGATGGACCCAGCCGATTGACGCTAAGTGAAGGATGGACTCTTCTGCATGATTGGCTACAGAGACTGCCACTGTACCATATAACACCATATAATCATTACAATTACACTCTTTTGCCATCCAAATAAAGGAATGTTGCAGAAAGTGTTGTCTATGTCAGGGAGATATAGTATGAGTAGTGTTTAAGTCATTATCTTTATTGAAAGGATGAGCTCAAATTATCTCCAATAAGTACCAGATTTTAGAAGCAGAGTCTGGAACTCAGTGTAACTACAGTTTCTTACTCTGTAACCAGAATTTTCTGATCAATACTAAGGGGAAGGACTGGATGATCCATGGTAATCAAACCCTGATTCTAAAATTTAATGATCCCAAGGAAAGCTTGAACTACTTGCTTTTTAGTTAGAGAATCTCTGACTTTTTCTATTATTCTTTTTACCTAATGGTTAAACACTGAACTGTCTTTTTCCCCCCTCCCCTACTGAGTAAGTTTCCATTCCACTCTCCTCAAGGCCCTCTCCCCTCACAGCAAGAGTCTCATCTTAAAATGTTAATGCAGCTTATCTCCCCACAGGTAGCCAGGGACAGCAGGGCACTGCCCAGGCAGCAGCCAAAAGGGCCCCTCTCCAGACCCAGTCTGCAAAGTCGTCCTAAACATTCCTCAGCTGGAGGGGCTTTCCCTGGCTCAGTGTCTGGACCATTGCCAAGAAGATCTGTCCAGCTGTAAGCCTGATTTTATATAGTTATTTCCACTTATTTTTTATCTTGCAAAATGTAAACGAATCTGTTTAGCTAGGAAATCACGTCCCTTGACAGTGATTATAACCTAATTTGACATGCAGTATTTGTACATTTATTCTGGTGTTATGATGCATTTACTATGTTTACATAAATAGAGATTTCTGTATAATTACCACAAGATAATGTACAGAGTTCATCATGTGAAATCCCCAAAATCTCATTTGGATCAATTTTTTTTTTATTTGAAAGTAAAATTTCAATTGGAAACAGAATGAGTCCATTCCGAAATGTTCTATAAATCTCCTGAGAGAGTTTCACAGAAACATTTACTTTCTCCACCCACTCTTGTTTGATCATTAATTGATACAGTCAAATATGGATTGTATCCCAAATAGGCGTCAGATGCCCACAAAGCTAGAATAGGCTTGTGTCCTCCCTTTAAGAATATTAACATAAACAAGTTCAGTAGGACTTCATAGACAAGGTGAAGCCCTGCCTTGATCTTGGCTACTTATCTTTGATAATCACTGTTTTCTTTATAAAAAGTACAATGGAAGAAATATATAACAATGCATAGGAGAAACATCAAGAGAAAAGAGAGGCAACTAACATAACATTCTAGAGAAGGAGCTGCTCATTTGTTTACGTTTCCTTCTTATTATGTCTCATTTCCAAAGAGAGGAATTTCCCTCAAATTAAAAAATTTTACTAAAATTAGGAAAGAATAATCACATAAAGACAAATCTAATAATTTCATATTCCTATACCAGAATAATAAAAACCTACTTGTCTTAAATTCCTTGGGTTAAAGAAATGTTTCTTTTGTTTGTACCATATGTTCAACTCTGTCTTAAAAAAAATTTTTTTTTTTTGGAGAGGTTTTTGCTATAGGGCACGTGTGCTCGCAAGACAGACAGAGACAGAGAGACAGAAAGTGAGAAATCACCCCCCAGGGGGGATGGCCACACCACAATCCCTTCTCCTCCATTCTCCTCTCGGGATCTTGGGCATGCACGCACATGCGCCCGGCGTGAGTTTAAGCCACTGGGTCCAGGACTCGAACCGCGGTCTACTACGTGGAAGTCCAGCGACATAGCCATTACACTAACTGCTGATCCCCAACTTTGCCTTAAAACTTGTGAATGTTAAAAAGATTAGGCAAGAGGGGCAAGCAGGTGGCATGGTTGTTAAAGGTGCTGGACTCTCATATGGTGAACTGCAGTTCAAGTAGTGAACCTGGCAGCTTGAGAATCATGCTGGGCATGTGTGCGTGTGCGCCTAAAGTCCTAACAGGAGAATGGAGGAGAAGGCATTACAGTGTGGCCATTCCCCTGGGAGGTGATTTCTTCTTACTGTCTCTTTCTGGGGAATGCATGGACCCTATGGCAGGGAACCTTAAAAAATAAATAAATAAAAGGAAAGAAAGAAAGAAGAAAGAAAGAAAGAAAGAAAGAAAGAAAGAAAGAAAGAAAGAAAGAAAGAAAGAAAGAAAGAAAGAAAGAAAGAAAGAAAGAGAAAAGAAAAGAGAAAAGGAAAGAAAAGAAAAGAAAAGAAAAGAAAAGAAAAGAAAAGAAAAGAAAAGAAAAGAAAAAGAGAATAGAAAAGAAATAGGCAAGAGCCAGCTTGGTGGTGTAGTGGAGCAATGGTAATGGGCTGGTTAGGCAAAGCTGGATCCATATGGAAGATCATGGGTTTGGGTCTCTGGTTGACCTCTGTATGTTAAGCACACATGTCCATGATCCTGGTTGGCTGGGGAGGCTGGTGAGGGATTATGGAGTAAAATTATGTTGGGGGTGATTATTTTTCTCTCTCCCTTGCACTTCTCTCTCTCTTAGCTTAGTTGAATGAAAGAAAGAAATAAACATTAAGGAAATTAGGGAAAATGCCAGAAAAAGTACACCAGTTATGTATAAAGTAAAAAGAGTGATTACAATGGCATGTGTTTTAGAAGGATGAAGCCATTACTGCATGCTCACTCTTTTTTTTTTTTTTGAGAAGTTTTCGCTATAGGGCGCGTGCACTCGCCAGACAGACAGAGACATAGAGACAGAAAGCGAGAAATCACCACCCCAGGGTGGATGGTCACACCACAATCCCTTCTCCTCCATTCTCCTCTCGGGATCTTGGGCAAGCACGCACACGCGCCTGGTGGGAGTTTTAAG